ATGGGTGTTGATTCCTCTTTTGTATTATTAATCTTGACTCGTTGCTCGCTGATGGGTGTTGATTCCTTTTTTGTATTATTAATCTTTTGACCCAATTTTCATCAATGGAAACTTGCTTTAATTGGTGGAATTCCTTTTAACAACAGTGCCACGTGTCAAATGATAGCAAATTGACGTAATATTGTTCAAAAGTTCTCCTCAGACTCTAGACTTCAGAGATATTCTATCCTTTCATTTTCCTTTTTTTTTGGGGTGCTTTTAATATTTTCCATGTAATGCTAAACACATTGGGTCCCTTTTCGTGTGCAATTAAATCATTCCTGAATCTGAAATTCACATAGAAACTCTGCACTTTAGAGCATGTTCTTTTGAATATTTAGGTTAATTTTTACCTTACTAATACATGAACATTTATACCAGGAAACTCTTCCTCGGCTATCTCCTCGTCTCGGGGTGGAGCTCATTCAGAAGAAACTAGCAGCTGCCTTGCAGTAGGAGATAAGCATTCTGGTTCTGTAATTAAATTCTAACCTCAGGCTGTATTTTAATTTCTTTTTGAAGAAAAACATAAATATTCTTTTATTCCAACTTGAGATAAAAGATGAGAACCCTTTGAGATGCATCGCATGGATTCTTTTATTCACAAAATATATATATATATATATATATATATATATATATATATATATATATGTTGTCGTTTTCACTTTCTACTATACCATATTTGACTATATTTCTCTTTGCATGAAATTAGTGACCACCATTATCATAATCTATTCAAATACGCCATCCATTCCTAATCTTTATTTCATTCACTAATTTCTTTCTTTCATTTTTTTTGTGACAGTGACTAGACATTCGTTTATGCTTCAGAAAAAGGGTTTGCATAAAAAGGGAGGATGGGGAGGGAAAAAGGTGTAGAAAAGGAGAGAATTTGGCCTGGTCAAAAGTTGCTAACATGAGCAAACACAATATTCAATTGAAAGTTTTGTAGGTTTCCTATCTCCACGGTGTATCTCTCTCACTTGAATTATTACCAGAGTTCCAAACTTGTAAGTTGCTCAATCTCTCCTTGGTTACTTGCAAAAACCCGTCTTTTTTGTTAGAATTGATCTCTTCTTATATTGTGACAGTTCAAAAAACTGAAGCCTTTAGCTACGAAATATGACCTAGCTTCTTTCATCCCTTTAAAGTTGCAAAATAGGGTATACCCAATAGTTCTTTTCATGAAGGGTAGGATGGTCCTTTCCCCGACTTCCCGCTCCGCCGACCACATGATCTATTTTGCCCATCCTGAAAATTTACTGTTAGATTCTGTTCTTGAAACCATTTTCAGAATTTGGATTGCCTTGCCATTTCAAACAAGGCTGTTTTTGTTTTCCTCTATTGCATCTTTGATTGGCTTAACCATCAATCAATCAATCATCATTTCTTTGATCCCTACAGCAAACTTCACTTCACTTCACTTCACTTCACTTCCTTTGAAGAACAGGATAAAAAAAAAAAAACCATTGTTTGAAGAACTTTATGTACATGGAGTCTCTTGCTTTGGGGTTCTTACTTGCTATTTTACACAAGGAAAGTTCGGCCAATAATTAGATTAGATTCCTTTTGGGATTTGTAGATTAATGGCAACTTACTTTCACCCCTTCTTTCAATCCTCACTTTATGGCAACTTTGCTTTTGAATTATGGGCACTTCATCATATATTGCATATAATATGCATGTCTTCTTTGCCAGGACTTTCATAAAGGCTCCATTTCCCCCCCTTTTTTTTTCATTTTCTTGGGATTTGATATGTTCTTAAATTATTCATTCATGCATGACACCAGGTCAATACACCAGTGATTTATTAAAGTTTTGAATAATTTTGTTGGACTCTTGCTCCCTTACTAATTGGAACTTGGAATATGAGGCTTAATAGTTTCCTTATTTTGAAGTGCGATACTTACACTTTCATTCTCGTATCAATTAACATATAATTGTGAATTATTGTTGAGATTTAATTGGTTTTCGTACCCAGTTAGATCAATAAATTAATTAGAATTTGATATTGTTAAGGATATTTAGTACTAAATTATAGTTTACCATATATATATATATATATATATATATTATATTTGATATCTTATTATAGGCAAATATCCTCACCATACTTAGCTTTCCATTTATTGTTCTATTTCTATATCCTTGTAATTTATTTGATTATAAATAGAAAACTTTCACACCCCATGTGGTGGATTAAGTGAACCTCTCAATAGGATTTGAACCTATATGAAGTTTTGACCATTTGTAAGAGAAAAAAGAATGAATGGATCTTGTAGGATTCCCGAGAAATTCTTCGATTTCTTTCGTTAGTGGATGATTATTCATCTGCTTCTCACGTTCCGTGAATAGCCGAGGCATTCAGGAATATCCAGAAAAGCATTTAGGGAATCGGTCTGATTCTATCTCTGTTCCTTCCCTTTGAAGAAAGGAAGGATCCCAAAGAATCGATCTTTCTTTTAGTTGTTGAATCTCTCGATTGATCAATGTGTGATATTCCAAAACATTCTCAGGTATGTTCTAACTTGCAAAGTCTAAATAGTTAATTAATACAAATCAATATGAATTTAGTCTTAGTATTTACGTGCCATCATCGGTGTTAAATTTAAATACATGATTAAATCTTACGTATTAAAGTTTTGAGATCCATTCGGTTCTATTTTACCGCCATTGTAATTAAAAATGATAATAATAAATACAATAATTAACCAATATTTGAATATTTATCATAAATCACATATTAAAAAAAAAAACTAAATATTGGTATGATATATCCTTTGTTTTCTTTTTTATTTCTGGTTCTAAATTTAATATTTCTCAAATATATAATTAATGCTTACACCCACTTATTTTCATCCACAAGAAAAATAAATAAATAAATAAATAATTTCCCCGCCACGTCTTATTTGCAAATGATTTAGTGACGTGTCCGCCAATTAGCCTCCTATGTGGAATACACACCACCTGGCTCCTCCATGGAATCCTAGAGGATTGATTTTTCAAATTTTTTATTAATTAATGATTAAAATGTGTCACACTTTATTTGATGTATTGTAAAAAAAGCCAAATTCTCCAACAATTTTAAATATAAATAAATATTATACTAAGTATTTACCATTACTAAATATTTAACAAAAACAAATATTTTTAAAAATTTTATCTAAAAAATTGTAAAAATATATATATTTTATTGATAAATAAAATCGAAAAACAAATATTCCATGGATTAATATAATAATGGATTTATTTAGTCATTAAATTTAGTATTAATAAACTAATAGTAAAAAACTTAAATATCTTAATAAAGTAAGCAAGAATATTCATTTACTTTCCCAATTTTTTAACTCTTAATTTTCACGTGGAATAGCTTTTTTTAATGCAATATGACGGAATTGCCCTTGGACAATAATTGTATTAATGTTTGGGATATAATTTTATATGAATCGGATTCACTTTATTTACAGCCACAAACAAAAGTCGGCCACTAATATTCCAATTATTTAAAGTGGTTTTTTTCGTCCAATAATTAATAAATATCTAATTAAATAATTAATGTTTATATAGCTTAATCACTGGTTATTGGGATACTTTATCATAATTTTTATTTATTGCTCAATAATAAAATAAATTAATAATACTTTTTTTTTAATATATATATCATATTAAAATAGAATATTAAAAATGTATTTTGTATTTGTAAAAGTTTAAATTATTTATAGGTTAAATTAATAAAATATCCTTAAATTTTGTTTTTTTATTTATTTATTTGTTTTATTTTTATTTTTTTCTTTTCGAATGTTTCTGTAATGTTCCACACGTTGGTTGGGGAGAAAACAAACCACTATTTATAAGGGTGTGGAAACCTTCTCCTAGCATACGTGTTTTAAAGCCTTGATGGGAAGCCCGAAAGGGAAAACCGAAAGAGGATAATATCTGTTAGCGGTGGATTTGGGTCGTTACAAATTGTATAAGAGCCAGACACCGGACGATGTGCCAGCTTTCTCGCTGTTCCCTGAAGGGGTGTAGACACGAGGCGGTGTGTCAATAAAGACGTTGGACCCCGAATGAGGGTGGATTGTGATGTCCCACATTGGTTTGGGAGGAAAATAAACCACCATTTATAAGAGTGTAGAAACTTTCCCTTAGCAAACACGTTTTAAACCCTTGAGGGGAAGCCCGAAAGGGAAAGCCGTTGATTTAGGTCGTTAGGTATAAAACAACTTAACGTATAGTAGATTCAACTTTCGGCTTTGAGAGGAAGCTCGAAAGGGTAAGCCGTGGATCTAGGTCGTTAGGTAGACGCGTTTTAAAGCTTTGAGGGGAAGCCCAAAAAGTAAAGCTGTGGATCTAGGTCGTTAGGTATAAAACAACTTAACGTGTGGTAGATTCAACTAATTATATTTGAGACAGACAAAATGAACACAAATAACCCTAATTTAACGATGGATGTGTCAATACTCAAGGTAACAATTCAAACCAACCGCTAGCAGATATTGTCTACTTTGGCTCGTTATGTATTGCCCTCATCCTCACGTTTTAAAACACATTTACCATGGAAAGAATCTAGCCCTATTCTAACCAGAGCCCTACATGTCTAGTGACTGGCCTCATACTATTTGTAACAGCCCAAGGTCCATTTTGACCGGTTACGTATCGCCGTCAGCCTCACAGTATTAAAACACATCTATCCATAATTATCGTATAAAATAATACTAAATATTATATTACTTCTTATTATCTAATATAATTAGTGGTGTCGCTATTCAAAACCATTAATTGAATACCAAATATTTTAATTTATGTAATTCCCAAGTGGATAATACAAAACATAAAAAAAATTTAATTTAATTAAAAAAAAAAAAAACCAAATTTTTAGTGCTTTAGCTTTATTTTGTATATGCTTTAATGAGCTATAAGAAGCCCATAAGGTCTTATCTTTTTGTCACCACCTTCAAACCATTCAAATCCTCTTCTCTTCCTAACATCTCCATACAACACACACAAAATGGTACCTCAAATTTGTGCAATGCTTCATAAAATTAAGCATTATTTGGCTATGATTTCCTTGCAATTCGGGTATGCCGGGATGTACGTCATCACCATGCTCTGCCTTAAAAAGGGCATGAACCATTACGTTCTCGCCGTGTATCGACACCTTGTTGCCACCATCGTCATTTCCCCCTTCGCTTTCGTTCTCGAGAGGTTCAGTCTCTTCCTCTACGTATTTTGCTGTATATTATTTGCCTTGAATTTAAATGAATCGCGAAGATGCTGATTTTGATTTTTTTTTTTTTATAGGAAAATAAGGCCGAAGATGACATTTCCCATTCTTGCTCGAATACTACTCCTCGGCTTCCTCGAGTAATAACCATATACTTAATTTTATTAGCATTATTAATGTTGTATTTTAATTTTCGGATAAATTAAGGTTGTTGTTTTTTTTTTTTTTTTTTTTAATTTCTAATTATTATTATGATTTTGGATTGAAACAGGCCTGTGTTGGATCAAAATCTTTACTACGTGGGGTTAAAACTTACCTCAGCAACATTCACTTCTGCTACGGTTAATATTCTCCCCGCTGTAACCTTCATTATGGCTCTCGTTTTCAGGTTAATTTTTACTTTTTTACCGGGAGGTTAATTTTGGTCATTTCACATAATTCAATTAATTTTAATCATTAATATTAAAAATAAAAATTAATTGGTGTGATTGATTAACCAGGCTGGAAACAGTGAATTTCAAGAAAATTCGCAGCATCGCAAAGGTGGCCGGAACAATGGTGACGATCGGCGGAGCCATGGTGATGACTCTATACAAAGGACCGGTGGTCGAGATCTTCCACGCCCATGGCCACCACGCCGCCCAACAAACCAGCAGCGAGTCCGCCGACCAACACTGGGTCCTCGGCACCCTCATGCTCCTCGGCAGCATCGTCGGCTGGTCCGGCTTCTTCATCTTGCAAGTAATTCTCTTTTTAACTCCTCAAAAACCCTTCATTTTTATACGTAAAACTAAAACTCATGGCTTCCCTGCTCGACCCCACGCAGTCGTTCACCTTGAAGAAGTACCCGGCCGAGCTGTCGCTTACCGCCTTGATATGCATCTCCGGCACGGTGGAGGGCTCCATTGTCACGCTCATTATGGAGCGTGATTTTAGCGTGTGGGTCATCGGCTGGGACTCCCGTCTTCTTGCCGCAGTTTATACGGTAAGCAGTGAGAATATTTGCTAAAACCACCCCACCTAAATCACCCGCCATTTAAAAGTAAAAATATTTGCTAAAATCTAAATATAGCAAGTAAGCCGTAAGAATATTTGCTAAAACCACCCTACTTAAATCACACTTAAAAAATTAAAAAATCAAATAAATTACCAAATGAGATACAATATATTTTCCTATAATAAAACTCAAATATATATATTGATCGTAAAATCAATTAAATTATCGAACAATAAATGAATACAGTATATTTACCTACCGTAAAAATTAAATATATATATATATATTTTGATCTGAAAATCAAATAATAAATAAATACAATATATTTGTCAATAAGTCAAATATATATAAATATATATCTATATATATACATACCAACCTCTCCATAGGTATGCATGCATGTATATGTGTATGTATGTATGAGGTAAACGGAGAACACATAAAAAAATAAAAAAATTATTTTTAATTTTTAATTTAATTTAATTTATTTAAATTTATTTCAGGGTGTGATATGCTCTGGGCTTGCTTATTATATTCAAGGCGTGGTAATTCGGCAACGTGGCCCAGTTTTTGTTACCTCTTTTACCCCTCTCTGCATGATTATTACTGCCTTCCTTGGCTTCGTTATTCTGGCAGAGCAAATTCACCTTGGAAGGTAAATTAATTATTTAATTTAATTTAATTTAAAAATAATAATATGATATTTAATCCTGTTCTTGTTCTGGTTGCAGCATAATCGGAGCCTTTTTCATAGTGATGGGGCTTTACTTAGTGGTGTGGGGCAAAGCCAAGGACCATCTCAACAAATTAACCAGTCAAAAGGGCGGCGCCGCCACGGAGTTGCCACTCACCGCCGAGCCGGAAACCGCCGAGGCCGCCACCAACGAGCGTTTCTCTTCCAAAGCTCCACCGGCGTGATGGTTGTGAGAGCCGTTGAATCATTTATAAACCTTTTTTGGGGTTTCGTTTTAACTTTAATTTTCTCATGATCACCATCTATCTTCACAATATATATATATATATATAAATGTATAAATGTTGGTGTGTTTAATTATACAAAATATACGTGATTTCGCTTATGTTCGTAGATATTACGCTTTCAAGCTCATTATGACGATGCTACAAAAAAAAAAAAAAAAAATCATGTAATTCTATGTATATTTTGATTTTGATGGGTTAGATCGTGTCACGTAACAGTCCAAGCCCACCACTAGCAAATATTGTCTTATTTGGGTTTTCCTTCTCGAACTTCCTTTCAAAGTTTTTAAAACGCGTCTACTACGGAAATGTTTCACCACCATTATAAAAGGTGTTTCGTTCCCCCTCCCCAACCAATGTGGGATATCATAGTCAGCCTGGACATAATTTAACTTATAAACACATGCATGATCGATTACAAGATTAGACTATGGGTTCGAGTTTTAGTTCTACGTATTGTTGAACTCGAGAGAAGGAGGGAGGAGCTCGAAGGAAGTGAAAATGGTATATTGTATTGGAGAAGCTACACGTGAGATCCCACGTCGGTTAGGGAAGGAAACGAAACATTCTTTATAAGGGTGTAGAAGCTTTTTCCTAGTCAATGAAATTTAAAAACCTTGAGGGGAAACCCTTCGAAGTGGGTGAATTGTGGGATCCCACGTCAGTTGGAAAATGAAACGAAACATTTTTTTAAAAGAGTGTGAAAACAAAAATATTGAGGGGAAACTCGAAAGGGAGAGTCCAAAGAGAACAATATCTGTTAGCCGGTGGCTTTGGGTTGTTACACCACATTACCAATGCACGAAGCCACCATTGTCGAATTTATCTATCGTGTGGACGAGCAAAGAGCTCGTAGAGACTCGCCACGCACAATTCATCCTTTTGGGTCCAGCTGAAGCCAAACTGCACATAAACGTATTACAATCGATTGTCGTATTCTTGTGTCGTTTTGCAATGAGAGACAGATACCTGTTAACTACTGTAGACACAAAATCAAGATCTTCGCAGTTGATTTGGAACTTTTAAATGTATATTGCAAATACAGTGGAAGAAACTGAAGATATAGTATCTCATGCAAACGTCATACTTTCAAACGTTCGAGTGTGCAATACAACCGATCATAATCTCACACACACCGCTAAATTACTATAAATAAATATATAAAAAATAATAAGGGATACAAATATGGTAGCTTCCTAAATATTAATCACTTTAATTTAAACCCAAAGTAGATTCTACATATATTAATTAATCAAATTATATGAATATATTTAACGAAAAATTATGAATATAATTTTAAAACTAAAAAATATAATATTTCCTTTTAAAATAACGAATCCAATCCGTTATGTAATATAAAAATCTCGCTACATTTAAAAAAAAAAAAAAAAAAAAAAAAAAA